TGTTATCAAAATTCAAATTTATTGTAATTTTGCCCCATTTGGTGGAGATTAAAATCAATTTTTTAGTAAGTTTTGATAAAAGTTAAATAGTAATGGATTTCATGAAATATGTTATTAAAATTAATTGTTAACTTTGATTTAGATTTTAATCGATACCAAACATGATTTTATAAAAAAAAATAACAAAAGAAAAAAAAATTAAAAAAAAAGGTTGTCATCCGTTGAAAGCAGCGGCTGACAACCACGTAAATAAAGCAAGGCCTGCCACAAGGCTTTGCCTTGCATGAAAATCTCATGCAAGGCAAAGCTCATTCCCTTCTCCTGCGCGCGGCGCGCAGGAGAATGAGACTATTTGTGACTATTATGTACTTGTGACCGTAATTTATATGTTTATTATGATCGTGGTTTGTTTCATTAAATACAAGTCACAAAATTTAGTTATGATCTCCTAATTTTTGAAAAATATTTATCAAATTTTTTAAATTTGAAAATATATTTTAAAAGTATGATAATTATATATTTTTTCTCGTAGAAAAATTACATTTTTTATCCCAATAATATTATTGTATGGCTCTTTTTTGTCCGGGTACAAATAAAACGTCGAATAAAATCGATGTCAATACAGTTAACTAATAAAAATAAGATTATGCTCATCAACGAGCCGGGTTCCACATAACTGGCTATAGAAAGCATGCTGTCCGACAACACTAGCTGTCATATGTCCGATCATACTTTTGGATTTTATCTCGACTAAGTGCGATTTGATACATTATGACAATCTAATCATAATTAACACCTTCACTTCCATGTACAGAGAAAAAAGGTATTCTCACTATTCTATCTAGTACGCAGGTGCAAAAGGTTAGTATTGAATTTAGGAAAACTATATTTCTGTTAATTCATATAATTTAGGAAAAATTGCAGCATCGGTCCCTAATCTTTTACTTTTTGAAGACTTTACCCTAATCTTTACTTTTTACCACCCACAATATCAAACTTTTCAAAAATATGCACTTGATGTCCAAATGAATGGAAACTGTCTATTTGACCGTTAGTTGACTAAAAAAAGTCTAAATTTGACCAATTTGGACCAAATTAAAGAAGGTATAATGATAATTTGGATTTTCTGAAATATTAACAATTAAAATAAAAATAAAACCACCAACCTCAAACCCACCCCCATGCCATCTCCTTCATATCTTCACCGAAAAACACCAAGACAATGCCACTACAACCAGCCACCAACCCACAACCTCTACCCTCCGTCGCTACCACCATTTGGTAAAACCTGTCTCCACCACCACTACAGCCACAAGTATCTACCAAATTTTCGTCGCCACCGCCATTTATATTACAACTCTTGTTTTCTTAAATTCACTAAGTTATAAATTAAACTATCCATTACAACCAATAATCCATAACATGGGGGGACATCAAATGAAGCGGTAACAGCATCGAAAATGCTTGTTCGTTAAAACCCAATTAACAACAATAATCCTTCTGTATTGCCACTGGCTAAGCTCAAAAACAAAGCCAACACTGATGAATCTTGGGGTTGTGGGTTGTAGGTGATGTTACTTTGCTATCAAATGCGGTTGAAATTAGAAAATTTACTTCCAAATTAGAATATGTTGTAGTTCGAATATAGTGTACAAATGGCCGAGAAGGCTCCAGTGCCATAACCATTCAAAGAACCATTTCAGTTGCTACCCCCGATTTTTGGTGGTTGGTTTTGGTTTGATGGTGGTGGTTGGTGGTTTACGATGTGATCTTGTGTAATGGTAGCGGTAGGAGTTTGTATTTGGTCATTATCTGATTCAGACACATTTTATGCTTATGGATATTTAGATAATTTTTAAAAATAAAGTATTCAGTAAAGTATTAAGCTTTCATTCTGATTAAAGCTTTTGATTTGACTTATTAAAGAATAAGCAGGACTAGTTGGAAATATGTATGTTTGGATCACATTATATGTAATTTTCATACTATACATTCATACTTGATTTCTATCATTTTATTGTATTGATATACGTGATTATTGATGAGGTTAGTTATTTTACTTGTAATGAAAATCTCTTTGTTCTTATATTGACATAATCAATGAACAAGATTGTTCGAAAATTTTTTGGTTATGATAGCAAAAGACGTTATAAGGTTATATACATTTATAAGGTAACATATGTGATCCAAGTGAGAGATTGTTGGGTTTTAGTTTGTCATGTGAGTCTATATATGTAATTAATTATGCATTAAAGTCTATCTTAAGGTTGAGTCTAATTAAAATCATCTAATAAAGAATTAAAATTATAGGCTTTGAACATCTAATTAAAGTATGGGCCTAAATATGTATAGAGATCAATTCCTTTAGGGTTGTTTTTTTATGATAAATCGAAATAGATATGGAAACCCAATTCATATGTGACTTTCATTCTATGTGTCATCCCATCAACACGAAAATAATAAGAGAAAGTATATTGAAGAGAAAGATTAAGAAAATCCACAATCACGAACATGTAATAAGATTAAGAAACCGTAGTCAAGAATGCACAATTCAAGATCCAGAATCAATATCCGGTATTAAAAAATCATTCCCAGTGAATCAAGATACATTCCGCACTTTATAATTCTCTCTTGATGAATTGATTGGAGGATCTGGACAATATGGAAAGAGTTTTCAAGTTCTTGAGATTTAAACTTTTAATAAAATCTAACAAAAGTGGCAATAACTTCACTACTAAATAGATGGATGATTATCTAGACTCTAGATAATGACATTTCTCTGTATAAAATGACTCGTGTCTTTCTTTGAACTGACCCAAATTGGTAAATTGGATAGTCCAAATTAACTTTTACATTGGATTGTGATCCATCTGAAATCACATTATCTAGATAGAAAGCCACTTCCATTTGACAAAATCCTAAAGAAATTGACACGCACGACACTAAAATGAGCTTGTCATCTTGTTACCGACAATGTCAATCCATCTACGTAAGTTTGGACAGTACAGGAGTTTGAGTGACTAATATAGAATAAATGTTGTTCTTTTGTCAATGGAGTCTCTCTCTCTCTCTCTCTGGACAGTCTATCAAATGATAAAAATAGAGACAGTCACCAGCTGTTGATCTTGTGATGGAGTTAATGAACTTGTACAATTTAATTCTTGATGTAACAACTTAAAAGAAGGAAAGGTACCAGTTAGGCACGGATGTCTTTACAGCTCGATATAGCAAAATATGCAAGAAAAGCTATTAATAAATTGGTTGCCCATTTTTCCAGCCTTAAATGGACCGTCGTAGTAGGGTTGTTACCTAGCCAACTTGACTATAGTTTCAAAATTTCTATATCATATTAATATTACGAACCAATTATATTAAAAGAATTTAATCATGCAAAATTCTTGAAAATAATTTTTATATTGCTTGAATCAAATTGGATTGAATCACAAGAGTGACAATTTCGAAGATACGAGGTGGTATGGAAGTATGACAATAATATTAACTTACTAGAAAGTATTATAATTATCGTCTTTAATTTTTGCACCCTCGTGTAATTCATCTCATACAAACATTATTTCTTAACAGAACGGTCTGATTGTCCCCCTTGATGAGTTCAATCCAAAAACAATTAAGCTATTTGTACAATTCTATTTGACAACCTTGATGTTATTAAAATTCAGACCGTTGATTTAAAATGCAGTCTTTAACAAATTTTAAAATAGATAAATCATAACCGTGATACTGTTAAGTGTGAATTTATCGATCAAGATTGTACAAATAACATGACTCTTCTAACAATAAGGTTAAATGATTAGTTAACTTAGATACAAAAATGCAATAGTCCATCACTATTTAAGTTTTAAATAAAGTGTGGCTTGAAGTTGTACAATCACCTGTACAACTTTCTTTTCTTTTGAGCCATTAATAACTGTCAAATTTTCGACAGTGCAACTATCTCATCAGGAGATCTGGCTTTCCTTTCATTTCTCTGTAAATTATGCCCTCGTTTTGAGAGGCATTTTTGAATAGTAATTTTTAAAAAATGTTTGTTAAAAAATGAAGAAAAAAATTTGGATTTACGTATAACATTATGTTATTGAAGAGTGTGTGATTGAAAATGAATTTTTAAAAAAAATAAGGCTCAAACAATCCCTATAGGAGACAGTTAGAAGTTCGAATATATTTTTTGAAATTTTATCATTTTTTTTTTTAATTTTTACAATGATAAAAACAAAGCCTCAGTGTTGTGAGGTATATATTGAGAATTTTATCGGGTTGCGGCCAACATGATTTTTTAGTTAGAATGATATGATTGAAATTGACATGTCGTACCATGGATCGAGACCTACACCGCACATCACTCCAAAAAACTTTCTACTTCGTACCCACTCTCACGTGAAAGTATCAGACATTAAAAAAGCAGCCAAAAAGTCTCAATCATAATGTGTTATAGTGCCCGAAGGCCCCGAACCACTTATAGTTATAATTCAACAACAAATTAATACTTGTAAAAATGAGGAAAAGCAAAAAAAAAATGATCATGTGAAGTGTGAATTATGACGACTCAGTGAGTTATGGCACTGCACAACCGTGTCTTGAATAACCAAGTCGCTTCCGATCTTTGTCAAACTCAAACGTGTAACCTTGTTGCATCAAATTTCCAATCACCGAAGAGCCTGAAGAAGGTGCAATGGGCTGCAGTGCCATGCATTTAACTCCGTCCGCCGCGTCAATGAAGTAATTCCGAGGTGGCGGTGCAAATAATGAACCACCGTCGAGTTTGAAACTCAGTCTTGGAAGACTTGGCCTTAACTCATTGGACACATTGAAGCATAGATCGAATCCTAGAGTCGGCTCAACCGACTTAGGCAGCTTCACAAGCCGATCGACCGTGGCTAGTATGATGCGATAAGCTGGCTCCGTTAAAAAGGTCAAAGTCGTCCCTGAGTCTACAACGGTCCCACCATTGCCCAATTCATCGATGGCCCACACTGAAGGACTTATAGGTAATTTTACATTATTAACAAACACGCTCTCGATCCCAATATAGTAAAGTGATGGAGAAAGAGGGTTAATTAGTATTGGCGTGTAGCTCAGCTTAGAACTTTTGGCGCCGATGTATTTCGAGCCGCCGATGAAAAGATAGCTTGTTGGCGGAGGGGAAAGAGTGTAATCCATTAAACAGTAAGAAAACTTGTGCCCAAACTCTCGGCCCAGTTGAGAGAAAAATGAAATGGGTCCACCGCCCAAGCCCATGACTCCATTAGCTCCATTAAAGCTTGGGCCGGAAACGCTAGGCCCAGAGTTGTTATACCCGCACCCGAAAGATAAATACTGAAACTGCACTAATTTACCGGAGCTGGAGTTGAACGTCGTCGTTTCGTGAGAGAAGAATCCTCTGGTTACAGACTCATCGGAGTAGTTGTACTCGTAGCGGCACGTGTTGTGGACGCGAGCGTGGTTGCATGGCATGTGCTCCTTGGGGTGGGGTACGAGCTTACAGGATGAGTCGAAGCAATGGTAAGGCGAAAATGTAGTTGAATGGCGGGGGAAGAAGGTGGCGCGTGAGGAACAATTCTGGCGACAGGCGGAGCAGGAGACCCAGGTTAGGTCACTTCCAGTATCAGCAACGAGGAGTAGATGCTGTGGAGGAGTGCCCAAATGGAGGGACACCAAGTACTGACCAGAGCCGAAGGATGCGGCGGAGGAGATTGGGAGCTTGGCATGGAAATGTCGACGAAGTTGGTGAAGGGTGGAGACACGGCGGGAGTCGGCGGAGAGGGCCTCAGATGGTGTCGGAGGATAAGGGGTTTTACGGAGGAGTGGTAGTTTTAAGTATGCAGAGGAAAGATCTGGCAATGTAGCGGCAATGAGGAAGAAGAAAATCAAAAGATAAGACGATTTTGATATGAATGCCATCAATGTTATTGGAAGGAGAAACACATGCAACTGCACAATCAAGTACTGTACAGAAATGAGAGAGAGAGA